CACACTTGCGGGGCGCGTTTGAAGAGAATCTACCTGTATTTCGGGGCGGGCGCGTGCGGCTTCCGGGGCATTGGTATCTAAACACAGTGGCGCACAGATCGGCGGAGGAAAAAAGGGAAAAGAAGAAGGACGGAGAGGCGCGCAGGTGTCGCAGGTATAAATACTGCATGAATGCGCGTCTGGAGGGACCCAATCAATAGATATTCATCCCCCTGTGCGCGTGGACCTACATAGGAGGGGCCATTGACTGCCGATCGACTGTTGCATTTGCCTGCATTTACACGCCCGTAGGCAATGCGTGTGTATGCTTGGGGATGAATGTATCGCAGGTTGCACTGTTGAGCGTCGAGTTGTCGATGATCGCTCCCATTATGAGCGGCGTATTTGGTTTTCGAAGGGTGTACAACAGTGTGAGTCTTTTTTTTGATGCGCTACTATTACCTATTGCTGCTGATGCGACTGTTTCGAGCCTTGTTTTGTCCGTGCGGTCTCTTATGGGTCAAATGATTATCGAGAACTTATCTTTAAACTGAACTTGCACGATGGGCGTGATAATACAGGTTGGACTGTGAAGAGATTGTACGTCACGGGGGATCGACAGATTTTAAACCATGGCAGACTTGTTTTGTGGGATAGAAAATTTGATTCGAGGCTTTGATTACTTGAACACCGAGTCTACAGCACAATTGTGTCGGAGACAAAACTTTAATATTACTAACAACGTTTCTGGCTGCGTTATTACTAAAAAAGTAAGCAAATTTAGGTTTTTCTTGATTAGTATAGGTATGTTGATTATGAGACAGTACAAATCAATTCGTTTAATAAATATACGCGATCCAATGAGATAAAATTGTAATTTTGTTTTTTGCCTGCAAAAAAAAAATTATTCCAGTATGTAACTTCTTACATACGATATTTTCATTTTTGTTTAAGAAATTAAAATACTATCTTTTGGATACATGTTTTGGAGATGGATATTGAATCTAAAAACGTTTATTGCAATTGTTGATACCAAACTTCATTTAATCGTATAATACAGCAACTGCAAGGAAGAATTTGTTTGTAAAGGCAATAAATTAAAAAATCCTTAACTATTTGAGAGTATGTGTATCCGTTATACCGATGAAACGAAGATAAATTTTTTACAGCTACGTATGCATTAATCATTAAATCAATGTTCATGAAAGGCAAAAAATTTAACCTGCGTACCACAGTGTAGCTAACCGCAGGCTGGCCCATAAATCTATACACACAAAAGCCCACACCGGCTACTGGACTGCTGTATAAACACGCAGTATACATGTATACCCATGAGCACCAGTATGGTATGAGAATGTCACCTGGTGTGTCTATAGGCGCGCTCGGATCCGGATGAGGCGCCAGAAGGAGACGACAAGAAGAAAGAAGAGAAAAAAAAGGAGGTGGAGGAGAGCCAACGTGCCTGTGAAAACGGAAGTCTAATTTGGATGGGTTCACGCTGCTCTCGTGCATTCATTCTGTCCTACATTGTTGCGCACCCAGTCTGAGACTCTCAGCCTCCGCCGAGGAAATGAGCGGCAATCAAATAAATGAAAAATGGGCGTCACCCATATATGCGGAAGCAGCTCGGACGGAAGCTGCGCACAGAATGGAAAAACTCCACGTATAATACCACCGCGTGGTGTGAACGTTTCTCCAGTGAAGAGAGAAGTGTTTGTAAATATACGCGAGTAAAGGGATAGAGTCCTGGAAAAACAAGGGAAAAAGAAAAGCCGCGGGAAGAGGGGCAGAGGGTGAAAACACGCATTAAAAATGCCACTCTCACATACACACACACGCGCGTGCTCATACGCTGCATATGGCAAGTTGGAATTTCTAATGAAGTGTGTGAACTCCAACCCGTTCTCCGGCTGCTCGTCTAACCTAATTAAGTCCAGGAGCACGCATGCAAATTTCCTGCGCTACGGGATGCCAGCTTGCTATACCGTGCCTAATATAGGTCTCTACGTGGACTCTCGTTCCTTACGGGCTAGCTATACTGTTACCTGGCTCCTTCTTCTTCTTCTTCTTCTTCTTCTTCTTCTTTGGTACTCTCTTTTTTGGTTCTATCCACGCAACGATAAACAATTTTTCTATTTGGCAGAACTTCTGTGGAAATTGAAGGTAAAAGTTCGCATGGCAATACGTAAAATATGAAACGTCTCCTTTTTCAAAAATTAACAATTTCCAGGACCTTGAATTAACGTAATGAAATAACTTTCGAATACCGTGGAGTAGTCTTGAGTGAGAATAAAATTCACATGAAAAATTAGCTGGTTAACCATCAGTGCTTTTGTGGATTAAAATAAAAAAGTAGCCTACGCAGGGTTGGCAATATTCGTCAACGGAGCGGTTGCTCGTCTCGAGAGGTCCTTGCGAAATAACGGACGATTTCCTAGGATTCTTGAAACCCGATAAGAACGAAAAGGGACGAAAGAAAGTGACGTAATTAGCCCGTGGATTGTTAACGCAATTATAGTACGTCCCAAGAGAGAGAGGGTCCCATTGCTTCGCTCGCGACTGTGGCTTATACACCTGGAGACTAAATGCCTCTTTTCCTTCGTTCCGTGGCTTTCACTGGTTTTCCGATTAGCTCCCGATCGCGTCGACTTGGTCTTTTGTACAAATGCGGAGGACGCCGGCTTATTAATTGCGTGCAAGCGAGACGGAGCCGCGTAACCGGATTGGTTCAATTAAAGAAATACATTTCATAAGCGGCGCTGCTTGCTCTGGTCTCGCTAATGAAACGAGCCAAGCACGCTGTGCAAGTCTTTTAGTATGCAAAGTTCTGCACCCCCCACTGTTTTCCTACAGTGTTCACGAAGGTATACTGGGATCATGGATACATTGTTGCTTCTCGCAGAGCGTTTGTAAATTGCGTGTCCCGAGGAACTTGGGCCTATTTTTTCCACAGCAGACTCATTAGGTTCGAGATTACGGATAGGTCCGACGACAAAGATATTTTTTATATAAATTATCACGGTGGTAGAGCTATTAAAGATTCTCAATGGTAATTAGAGTTGTTAATTTTTATGATGATCTACATGTATGTTACTGCAAATTGAGCATTACTTTTGGTTGCATCCAAAATATTATTAGAAGAAAAAGACCTTCAAGACTCAAGAACTTTTTATTTATAATTTAAATTTTTTATTTATCGTTATATTTTCATCACCAGAAACTGCTCTTGGAGAGCGACATGGTGATTATCGACATGAAGCTCAATAACTAGATGCATGAAACAACATCAAATAGTCCAGCAGTTGTAAATTTTGTACACAATTTTACGAAAAATCACCTTTTGTTCGAACAATGAATAACAAAAAAAAAATTCCCACCATCACAGAAAGAAGACTCGCAACACAAGTATAGAGTACAGGTGTAAAGCTGTACAGAGGACGAACGAGGTAGGAAAAGAAGTATCGTGGGAGCAAGAATTAGAGCACTGCAGCGTCTCACAGCCTGTTGCCACCACCACCACTAGCTACAGGATCCTCACATCAATCTCCATGCATTCGTACATATACATCTCGCGTAGGGCGTCGCGACCATTTGCATACTCACCGCCCTGAGAATGTGTCCTCGTCAAAATGACATGCTCGCGGCTTTGTGCTGTAAAGACGAACACACGCATCATCTCCTTTTGATCTCACAGACGCACACATGCATGCAAAGTTCTCGCGTAACCTGTCCTTTGAGTGCGAGATCACGTTTTAGCCTCGACGGGTCGCGTTGGCATTTTAATCGTTACGGGCGGAAATGTATGCGACGAGGACGACGGATTTTGTAATGACGATAGTGCCCGCGTATTATGTTATAAATTACGTTACATTACCACCGTCACCTCCACCACTCTATACGACGTTTTCTCATATAAATATTTAAGTGACTACGCAAGGCAGTCAAGGATGTGTTTCGAGCTTTTGAGAATATTTTTAGATACTTAAAGAAGCTTTCGTCACGTACAAATTGTAAGATTGATCCCTCATTTATTAGGCTTAGTAGAATATTTTAAAGTCATGGGAAACCAAGAGTTGTTCATCCTGAAAATGGTGATTAATTACGCAGAGTTTAAATAGATAGGCACTGATGTTTTGGCATGAATCTTATTGGCAAAAAATTTAAATACAATTAACGTTGCTGTACAACTTTTTTAAGAACGATTTCAAGGAGAATTTGATCGTTTTACCTTTGCTTTGACAAATCAGCAGTTTATACGAATCTTGGAAATTTTTGTTAAATCGTTGTAGTAATCACAATAAAAAAAATTAAATACCATCTCAACAGATACCTTCACCTATAATTATCGTAGGTGCCACGAGAAGAAAAATCTCACCAAGGGCTTGGTCGATATCATCGCCTAAAAATAAAAATGAGCAGTCGAAAGGAGCAGCAGCAAATAATCGGCGTTACATCTGAGACTCGCGGCACTCGTTAGGTGTACAAGTAGCATCCGCGCGTCATTTGGAGGAGGAAATGGATGCGCCGGCGAGACTAATTATAATGGACGCGTGAAACGAGCTGTGGATAATACGATCTCGTATCCGTGCCTGGGAATACCTTATGTGCGAGTATATGGTATACGCACACACAATACCCATACGCGCTCACAGCCAGCCCCTGTTTGCACACGTATAGGTATCTAGTTGGAGGAGAATTTTTCGTGGTCTCTCCCTTCCTGTTTTGCTTTTTTTTTTGCCCACTTACGAAACCGGCCCAAGAGCAAAAAACGAAAGAGAGGACACGTTGTGTGAGTAAGTATGCGAGAGATGACGAGAAAAGGGGATCGCGTGCACGTCGTGAAACTAGAACAAAGCCGACGAGAAAAAACTAGTAGAGCAGCCACTGGGAGGGGGGGGGGGCTGCCTATGGCACGTAGGGCCCAGCGGAAGAAGAGAGTGGGGGAGAGGCCGAGGAAAGGGTATCCCAGAGGGGCGATTATTCGGGGATAGACGTAAGTGGGCCCAGCAGCAGCAGCGCACCTTTCGAAATTTCTCGCGTGATCTCTTCCACCTTCAGTCATCTCTTGCCGGTTTATGGCGACGCTGGAACGCTGTGCTCCTCTCATCTTCGTGCATAGTGACGTTTGTTACGAGTGTGTGCTTTGGTTGTTGGCAAATCTCAAAGGAAGCAGTTTATTTACCATTAAGCTGCACTGAGTTGGGATATTATTTAGAAAGCATTATGAGGTTCATGAGGATTAATTTGTGTGTTGATTTTAGCTAGGATCTATGGTCTGTATGTTTCGGAAAACAACACTGGAATTAATTTAATGCTATCTTGTACAGTTGGATAAACAATTTTTACTAAATATGAAAATTTAATGTTTTTAAGATGAGGATAATGATTATGTCGCAGGACTCCTGTTAATACTTTCATTAATTATCAAACTTAAGTATTCACATTTGATCTATAGTTACTATTTTTTATTAATAAAGAATTATGGGTAATCAAGATAATTAAGACCTAAAAAGTGATGAATCTTAATGCGGAACATATAGAAGTTGACGTAGATCCTTATAAAATGTTTTGATAAAAAAGGTGAGAAATCTCGAAAAAAAAAAATTTAGCAGCACTATATAATCTGATATGCAAATTCACGCGACCATTAAAACTTCCAGCCACGTCAAGTCAGTATTTTCCAGACCCATTGAGCCGCGAAAGTAAACATCTCGCTCGCACAATACGAGACCGACAGAGCGAGAGCACCGAAAATCGAAAAAAAGATCTTTGGAGACAGATCACCCAATCGTTTGAAATTCAGCTTCCATCCCATAGTCTTCTCTTCCGTTTGATCGTTCCTCCTTCCTTATTACTGTATTTTTTCCCCCCTTATTTTCAGCTTTTCCACGTTTTCAAGTATCGAGAAGGAAAAACTCCAGCAGCACAATAACGTTCTCCCGCTCACTTGACTCCATTGCCCGGGCTCCTCCCACCTTCCCTTTGGAGACGAGAAACGATACCCATACCAGAGCCCTCGGGTCTCCATTATTTTTCCAAGGCAAACGAGGCCATGCAAAATCGCCTCACGTAGAAAATCATCCTTTCTCCCCGCCATCACCTCTACTCTGTCGTGGGTATCTCGCACCTCTTTTCCTCCCCTCGTTATTTTCCCGAAGCTTTTCCGGCGCTTGCCTACAGGTATGAGCTTCGTTTCCAGGGGCGTCTTGTCGCGTGCAGGGACTCGATTTCGGGCGCATAAATCGACCGAGGGTGCAAAACCTTTCTCCATTTTAATGCTCGTACTTGAAAAAAAAAAAAAAAAGAAAAAAAAAAAGAGCTTCTCGCCTGTAGCTGCTCTTCTTCTTACCGATATGTACAGGGAGAGCTAAGCTTTTTGCATGAATTTGCATGTCGGGAGAACAACGAATTCTTAAAACTCGAGGGTTGATACTTCTTTTTCTTCCACGAGTTTTTCGTTCGCTCTTTTTATTACTTGGGAGACGAGCTAGAGCTCAAGTGTATACAGTGAATGCGATGGGGAGAAACGATTTTTTTTGTATCATTGACAGCTTCGTTTACCTACGCACCTCTTATGGATAAACACCGACTGTATACTCTCACCATGGCACCATGTTTTGTTTGCGTCGTTGTAGACTTCTCGAGCAGTTTTTTGGAATTTTTTGATAAATTTGTTCGGAGCCCTCTGTCAAATCAGTCGAAAATTGGTTTTTACATTTTATAAGTACAGCAAAGTATTTGCACCCACAGTATTTAACAGCATATCGTTTTTTTCGGTTATCTGAATAAGTACTAAATCTACTTCGTGAAAAAATATTAAATATTAATCAATCGTCGTTCAAAATAAAGTTTACTTTTCATAAAAAAAATGGTAAGGAATGATTGATACAATAATAATTAAAAAAAAAAAATTAATAACAATAAATGAAGAAATAACCAATACCTGCAGACTCATTCGACTTTTAATAAAAAAAAGTATAAGTGTAGCAAATCGTGAATCAGAGTAAAACTTGATTGTTAAAATCCATGCGAGTGTAAATTGTTTCATCCGGAATAAATAGGTTTGCTCAGTAGCTCGAGAAATCCTATTAGTACCAAATTAAAATAGTGAAAAGGAGTTTAACCCTTTTAAATTTGCATTTCCTTCAGGCTCAAATTGCATCAAATGTAATATTTTTACAGTGGACGAGTAATAATTAATTAGAAAATAGCATCGTGTAAAAAACTTACGAGTTATACATAAAACACCGAGCACCTAACTTTGAAAACAATATGAAAAATAATTAATCTGAAACCTATTAACCAAATGAAAAATTTATCAATCTGTGGATGGAAAGTATATACGAGAAGTGGGCGAAACACGTACCCGAAAGAAAAATGGCTACTCGCTCTCATCCCGCTCGCCGGTGGGAGCGGCAGAGAGGCGCAGGCGAGCACTTTCCTCGATACGTTTATCTTCCATACTCTATTGATCCGTAAGTGATGGTGCGGTGCCCGCCATGACGAGGGGGTGCCGTATAGTGGTACAGCGGGAGAAAAGCAGGATGGCGCGCTCGAGTACAGAAGAGAGAGAGAGAGAGAGAGAGGAAAAAAAAGAAGAAAGCGAGAACACCACCCCCCGGCAATACTGGAGAGAACGAAGGGTGGTGCTCATACGGCGACGCTCGCGTGTGTGTGTGCGCGCGTTGGAGGGTGGGTGGGTGACTGGAAGAGAGAAAGAGGAGGGTGCGACGAGGCGGTTTTCGCTTATGTATATGAAAAGAAGAACCGGAGGTTTGACGCGCTCTCGCACGATTAGGTGCGCGAGAGAGGAGGCGAATCCACGGCTGCGGGCTCAGGCGGCTCTGGAATGAAATAATAATATTAAGATGGATAGGAGAGAACCGAGGGTGTGTGTTGTAGATATATATATATATATATACGTGTATATACCTTGCCGAGGAGGGAGAGAGAAAAGGAGGATCGCGCGGGAAAGGAGCTTTCTCATCATTTCTCTCCGAGCTTAAGGTCCCCTGGTCTTGTTCTCCTTCTTCTTCTTTATTCTTCTTTTTTTCCCGCGAATAAGCCGCGAGGGCACATTTGCGCTCCGTTCGGGGAAAATGGATTGGTCCGCGCCTGGTTTTTGACGTCTCGCCATTAGTGGCTTATTCCCTCTGCTCTATATACATGTATACTTACTCTCGCAACGCGTCAAGTGGAAACTTCTTTGGGAGAAAGAGGATGGGAGGGAGGGTGTGGGACACGCCTGACGACAACTTTGTTTACGCTGCAGTTATTCGAGTGCTCCGATAAAGTTGCACCGGCGATGTTATTGCGAGATTGGTGAACGGTGGGAGAATCGGATGAAGAAATACTCGATGTTGCGATGGAGCTTAACTTTAAAAATTGAGTTGTTGAATTTTCATTTTGTTGTTTTTTTAGGACTTGCAAAAAAATCTTGGGGTCTGAAAATAGGATTACCGCAACTGTTACTACTTATCTTACAGTCGTGATTTTTTAATGGGCATAAATTGATTCTTTTATCGAGGTTTGTGGGTCATTTAGATCAAAACAAAAGTCTACTGTTCCTAGAAATTTTTTTTAAATAATCGTGAATAATGTGATATTTAAGTAGTATTTATAAATATTTTAAAGTTGTACAACAGTAACATACAAAGTATAAGTATCCATTTCCAAAATTGATTAGTTAACTATTTGATAGGACTTTTTATTTTCCAGCAATATATTGGAATCTCAATAAAAACTGAGTCACATATTGCACAATTCTATTGACGATACTAAGGTTTTCTTTACAAAGGTACATTGGTTAAAAAGTCTCATGTAATGTACTTGGCGTTTCTAGGAATGTTTTATAACGTCATCCATCAGCACAACACACTGTAATACAAAAAATTAAAAATATTTACTTGAAGTGAATTTTAAAATTTATAACAAGTTCTTCTAAGCTGTTTTGTAGGTATTAAAATTCTTACTCATATTTTGCAGCAAAGTCTTGAAAATCAATAAAAAAAATAGTTTCAATAAAAAAAAAAAAAACTTCATCTCGTTTTAATTTTTTCATCCAACCACAAGGTGGTGTGACGAAAGTAATGCGCAACCACGATTATGCACGGGGCCCTTTCCGTAAGCAACACAGCTCGGCTGACAGCATTATCGCATGTCAGCACGAGCATTAGAATTTCATGGGCAAAATTTATGCTGACTACAGCGTCAGAGAAGCTCGGCTCTTCACTCGAGTATCGAATTACACTTTGCAGAAAGAGAGACAAAGAGAGAATGTTGTAAAATTGGTGCGGCGACACAGGGCACATCCATCCATCGGGAGCCCTTCTTAATTTTAGCTCGTTTGTTTCGTCCCAGCCCCCTTCCACTCTCTCTCTCTTTCGGTACACACAATGTTGGGACGACGAGCATCCACGGGCAATCGACCTTTAATATTCCCAGATCGGAGTACAAATGAATATTCATTAAACACATTTTTTCCGATTTTAATTACATCGCCAGTCTAAGCGGATCTGGCTCGCTCGCGAGCTTACGCCTCGAATTCTGCCCCTCACCGAGCGAAATTTTTTTTCTCCTCCATTCGTTTATTTTTTTTTCTTCTATCCCTATGTGCTTTTTAATGAAATCCCCTATAGGCACGGAACAAGGAGCGCCATTATTAATATCACCGATCTTATCTTCGAGCGCAATAAAGTATTAGTCTGTTATTAATTCGGAAGTCAGAGTCCTTGTCCTTGTCATCCCTAGCTTCTTTCGTTCGAATTTTCGCTACGATTTCAAGTGAAGCCTGTTGCAGGTACCCGTACTTACATAAAATACTAAAAACTTCACGAATGGAGTGAACATCACGATTTGAAATGTGTCGATCTATTTTTTAAGTATCGGCGAGGATAAGCTTACAGATAATATGAATCTGTAACTAAAGTCTCCACGTGTTCTCGCGAAGAGTAGGAATCACAGTCTTTCTATTATTTATAGTTTTTACCTGTAGCTTGTTCGAAACTAAGTATTTGGGAACAACAAAGACACGAACCAAATTTTAAATGATTTTCATCACAATCGATGGAAGAACTGAAATTATTGTTTTAAAAATAATTTAAGTTT